TATTTTAAATTTTTTATCTTATTCTATTATAAAAGTGATGTACAGAGGGGTTATAGTTACATAAGTCAGGTAATGAGTACATATATTTTATATATATATTTTTTTTTATTGTGAAAATACTGTACAGAGGGGTTACAATTACATGGGTAAGATAATGAGCACATTTCTTCTCAGGCATTGTAGCCTCCTGCTTTGTTTCCCCTTCCCATCCTCCCCCCCTCCCTGTCCCCCCCACCAAAGTTGTAAAGTTAGTTTTTCGACATAACGACTTGTACATCTCATTGTTGCAATGGGTCCTTCTGTATCCCTGTTTTAACAATTGAGTACATATCTTTTTGAACAGTCACCTCTTCCCTTTCTTCTAGTCTGCCCCCACAAAGTGTATAGTTCATTTTCAACACAATGTCTAGTATTACTGCATTTGTTCACCCTTTGTCCCGCCATTTCTGTGCTCCCCTTACCCTCCAAAACATATAAACTTACAAACAAGACAAAAGGTACAGAAAACAAAAACAGCAACAAAGGAGGGGAAAACCCTTGTTTCCATTTCTTGGAGTTCATTTTAATGAATACCATTTTATATGATCATGTGCACATAGCTATTGAGCCTTTGTGATCCTCTCCTAAGAATATCCTCCTTTGGTCTCACTGTGTGAATGTCTAGAGACCTGTATAGTTTATCATGTCCAAGTATATTTTTTGTCTTTTACCATGCAGTATGTTTACTTGTAGATTTATAGGCACATTCTAATGATGACAAATGAGGGAAACCACACAACCTATGTTTTTTTTTGGCTCTGGCTTACTTAGAACTATAGACCCATCTCTTTGATGAACATCAATGCAAAATTTCTCAATAAAATTCTGGCCAATTAAGGTGGCTCTTTTACACTTTTTTTTTCCTGAGGTTTTTGTTTCGTGGATTTGGGGGCCCTATCATTAGGTACAAGTATGTTCATAATTTTTATGTCTTCAATTGACACTTTTCTCAATTTTTTTTGTTTTAAAGTCTTAAGTATCTGATATTCTGACTCAGCCAGAGTCATTTTGCTTTCAAGAAATTTTATTTCCTAATGTATATCTCTTATGTACAGCATACAGTTAAATCTTGGTTGTTGTTTTTATAGAGTCCAATACTATTTGTCTTTGGATTTAACTCAAGGAAGGCTTAAGACAATGGAAGACAGTGCTGAAAGTAAGAGAAAAGAGAAGGGACAGGTTTAAAGTCTAGAGAAATGTTTCTTTTATTAATGGAAGCAAGGCTTTTTTTCCCCCACTAAAAACTAAAGGAAAATAGGGTATAAGTCTAAATGCTCAAACTGTCAGTACTCACTTTTACACTCAGAAAGCCTGTTTTAGGGTCTTTCTTAGTTAGCTAACTTTTCCCTGGTGATAGAACTTTCTGTTGATTAGAAGGCCAGAAATCCATGCTTTTTAGAATTGTGCATACGTTACATGTTAACATATGACTGATTGCCTTTAAAAAGGGAGTCAAAGGCCTAGAGGTGTGGCTCAAGTGGTAGAGACCTTGCCTAGGCAAATGCAAGACCTTGAGTTCAAACCCCAGTATCACCAAAAGTGAATCAAGTACACAATTTGGTGAGTTCACCTAAATAAATGCTTGGACACATTTGTGCTAGGAGCTGTGATGAATACAAAAGGAAAAGGTACAATCTGTATTGTCCATGAACTCACTTTCTAATGGGAGGGATAAGCAAACATGTGAAAATCCTGGTATTAAACAGCCTGGGATAAAGGTCGTATAGTGGCATTAGTGTTGTAGGGGAACAGGAAAGAAAGATGAAGTTTGTACAAGGACTAGCTTGCAGACCTTGCAGAAAGGCTGCTGCAATTCAAGTAAGCGACAAGAGATACTTTAGATGGAATATTACACTTGGACTCAGGCATATACTTTTGTAGACACTGAGTCCAGGTATCAAAGTAAGACAAATTATATAGCATACAACAGCAAAAGTTTCATTTGCAGACTGATGTAGATTCAAATCCCAGGTCTTTTTCTGCATCTGGGTTGGTTAGGTGATTAGGGTAATCCTGAACTTGCTTTGTGGAGATCCATCTAAATATTCACTTTCTTTTCTTTCTTTTTTAGGTCTGAGACCAGAACTTAAACTCGGTACCTGGCTTGTGTTCTACCAACTGAGCCATGCCTCCAACCCCTAAATAGTTCCTTTATGAGTCAGAAAAAGGAGTTTTCCTGTAGCTTTCCTAAAGGTGCCATCACAGTCTACTGGGAAGTAGAGGGGCTCTGAAAGCATGTGGATTCAAAAGCCAGCGAGCTAAAAGATGTGAAGGCAATTTTTCTGTGGCAAATGTCGCAGCACTGACCACACCAGGGTTAATTCAGCTGATACGGCTGGCCGGCCAGGTATCCCCTTCCTCCCTTATCACTCTACATCCCAAAGACGTATGTTCACTTAAAAAAGATGACCTTCCCCGATAGAGAAGGGCTATTTTTCAGTTAAGGATAGGTAAGCAGCTGTACTCCCCTGGTAGAACCTCCAGAAAAAGCCAAATATTCCATTTATGTCTCAAATATGAGATTGTAACAAAGTTTCCCTGGTCCTCCAAACCACTGGGTTTTCCTCTATTGTAAACTAGAAAATTAAACTACTTGAAATTCTAAATACTTTCAGCAAAATATCTCACATATATACATGGCAAAGAGTAGTGTATTTCAATAAATGTTCTCCCCACACATATCCTTTTCCATTAGGAGTTTTCTGTTGAAAAGATATGTATGGCTGGCTGACTGACTGACTGTGTGTGTGTGTGTGTGTGTGTGTGTGTGTGTGTGTGTGTGTGTGTGTGTGTGTGTGTGTGTGTGTGTGTGTGTGTGTGTGTGTGTGTGTGTGTGTGTGTGTGTGTGTGTGTGTGTGTACAGGAACTAGGGTCTTGAACTCAGGATCTGATGATCTCATTGGTTTTTTTCCTGCTCACAGCTGGCATTCTACCATTTGAGTCATGCCTTCAGTTCCAACGTTTTTTTGTTTTTTTTTTTGTCAGTTGTAGGGCTTGAACTTTGGGCCTGGGCGCTGTCCCTCAGCTGTTCAGCTCAAGGCTAGTGTTCTACCACTTGAGCCACAGAGCCAGTTTTCTGAGTGGTTTATTGGAGATAAGAGTCTCATGGACTTTCCTGCCTGGGCTGGCTTTGAACTGCAATACTCAGATCTCAGCCTCCTGAGAGGCTAGGATTACAGGCGTGAGCCACCAGTGCCTAGCTCCAACTTTTTTTTTGTTTTTGAGGTAAGACTCTCATGAACGTCTGCTCTGGCTGGCTTCAGACTGACTTCTCAGCCTCCTGAGTAGCTAGGATAAGCCCACAGCTTTTAAGACTAATAATGCCTTTCCATCATTCTAGGTGCTTGGACAACCACAAACTAGACAAAAGCAAAGCTTCTTTTCTAGTCAGCTTGCCTTTCTGTGGAAACACTGATTCTGTGTCATCATATTCTGAATACAAATAGTTTTTTGTGCATTTTTGTGTGTCTATGTGTGTATATTTACAATCTGTTGTGCAAGGGTGTAAGATGAAAAAGTAGTAGTGCTGGGGACTGAATCTAAGGCCTTAGGTGCTCTATCACTGAGCCTTTTTTGTGCACCTTACAGCATTTTTGTCCCTCCTAAGAAATGTGTATGTAAAAGTGTTCCCATACTTCCATAACTTTGTTTCTTTTTTTTGGTAATGATATTGCATTTGTTTTATATTTAAGTGAAAGAAATACTCAGAGAACCTATCAATGCCAATAAATATATTACATTAAAATACACTTAAAATTCAAGAAAACAGGGCTGGGAAGGTGGCTCAGTGGTAGAGCGCTTGCCTTGCATGTCTGAGGCCCTGGGTTTGATTCCTCAGCACCACATAAGCAAAAAAGAAACAGCCGGAAGTGGCGCTGTGGCTCAAGTGGTAGAGCGTTAGCCTTGAGCTGAAGAGCTGAGGGACAGCACCCAGGCCCAGAGTTCAGGCCCCACGACCAGACCCCAAAAAAAAAAAAAAAAAAAAAAAAAATTCAAGAAAACATAGAGAAGCTCTATTTTTAGTACATGACTTGCTATTTTTTTTTTTTTTGGATGGTCATGGGGCCTGAACTCTGGGCCTGGGTGCTGTCCCTCAGCTCTTCAATTCAAGGCTAGCACTCTACCACTTGAGCCACAGCACCACTTCTGCCTTTTTCTGCTTATATGGTGCTGAGAAATCAAACCCAGGGCCTCATAAATGCAAGGCAAGCACTCTACCACTGAGTCACCTTCCCAGCCCCATGACTTGCTATTTTATAGGGGACATGCTGGCAACCCAATTTGTGTAGCTTAGACTGCTCTTCAACCTGTCTATCCACAAGATTCCTGAGAGCCCGGTGGCAGGACTATGTTAGTAGAGTTAGGACTACACTTCTTAATTACTTCACAATTTGCTCACTGGTTTTGGGTAATTGAAACAATTTTCTTCTGCAGTTTAATTCTAACTAAATTCAGTGGCTTATTTCTGGTTTGTGCTGTTGGTTAAAGATGATATAGATCTTAGTAATCAAACTAGAATTCCTTAATTAAGGAGTTACAGGAACAGTACACAGCATATAATTTTTGCTGAAAAACAATGTATTTTTGAGTTGGGCATAGTAGCTCATACATGTACTCCTAGATTACTTGGGAAAATGAGATCAAGAGTTTGAGGCCAGCTTAGGTAAAAAGTTTACAAGAAGCCAGGTGCTGGTGGCTCACATCTGTAGTCCTAGCTACTCAGGAGGCTGAGATCTGAGGATCGTAGTTCAAAGCCAGCCCAGGCAGGAAAGTCTGTGAGACTTTTCCACCAGAAAACTGGAAGTGGCACTGTGGCTCAAGTGGTAGAGTGCTGGCCTTGAGCTGAAGAGCTCAGGGAAAGTGCCTAGGCCGAGTTCAAGCCCCATGATGGACCAAAACACCAAAAAAAGTTTACAAGATCCCATCCCAACCGATAAAATGCTAGAGGTGTTGGTACGCACCTGTTATCTCAGCTTCAAGGGAGGAATAAGTAGGAGGATTGTGGTTCAGGCTGGCCCAGGCATAAACGTGAGACCCTATTTGAGAAATAACAAAAGCAAAAGGGCTAGGGGCATGTCCCAAGTGTTAGAGCACCTGTCTGGCAAGTACACAATCCTGAATTCAAAGACCAGGACCTCAAAGAAAAACAAGAGAGAGATAAATGGACACACCAACATTAACAGTGATATGGAGGATTAGTATGAGTCTATTTCATATTTTCTTCATACATTAACATTTTCTTTCTTGAGAAAGTCTCTGTATGATACTCTTACAGGGAAGCAGAGACTTCCCAAGTGCTAAAAGGTATTCACTGTCAAACCTGGCCATCTTTATATATATATACACACACACATACATACATATACATATACATATACATATGTGTGTGTGTGTGTGTGTGTGTGTGTGTGTGTGTGTCTTTTCCTAATAAAATAAAATCACTTCATTTTGGAAATGAGAAAAAAAGATAAACTATAAACTATAAGATGATTATGTCTTTGGACACTTGAGTGGGTTCATTTATCTCCTGTAGTTACATCTTTAAGGTGTTCCAAGTAACTGCCACTCATCTTTTAAAGGGAGCCAGGAATAGAATGTAAGCACCTAGATTTTCCAGATATATATAAAAATTCCTTCAAATCCTACTGGACTCTTCAAATTTAAAGGGTTAATTTTGTTAATTGGCTGTGGAGTTTGAACTCAGAGTCTGTCCCTGAATTTTTTTTTTTTTTTTTTTGGTCTGGTCATGGGGCCTGAACTCTGGGCCTGGGCACTGTCCCTCAGCTCTTCAGCTCAAGGCTAGCGCTCTACCACTTGAGCCATAGCGGCACTTCCGGCTTTTTTCTTTTTGCTTATGTGGTGCTGAGGAATTGAACCCAGGGCCTCAGGCATGCAAGGCAAGGGCTCTACCACTGAGCCACCTTCCTAGCCCATCCCTAGCTCAAAGCTAGTGCTCTGTCACATTGAACCACGTTGCCACTTCCAGTTTTCTGGTGGTTAATTGGAGATAAAAGTCTCATAGACTTTCCTGCCTGGACTGGCTTTGAACCAAGATCCTCGGATCTCAGCCTCCTGAGAAGCTAAGATTATAGGCATGAGCCACCAGCGCCAAACTGTTAATTTTTTTAATTTAATTTTTTATTGTTATTATAAAGGTGATATACAAGGGATTATAGTTACATAAGTCAGATAAAGAGTAAATTTCTTTTCGGACAATTTCTCCCCTTCCCTTGCTTTAAAGGGTTAATTTCTAGAGACTTGGTTCTAAGGAAGTAGGTGGCAAGTATGTATGGCATGCATGCCAAGACTGGATTTTGAAATAAACTGAAACATGGAACATGGAAGTCTTAAATGCTTGGAAAATATTGTCATTTCAACATTTTTGAAAGGGAGAAGTTTAGAGTTATCACTAGGTTACCATGTGACCTGGGTAAGAACCAAATAGTCCTTATCAAATCTAAATCTGCTTCCTTGTCTGGGGAAAAAAAGACTATTATTAAATGAATACTTCCGTGAAAAAACTGTGATCTTGAGAAGTTAGGTAATTTGCTTGTGGTTATATAAGTGACAGTTAAGGTCGATTGAAATCCTATTTCTCTGACAAAGAGAATAAGGACAGGGGAATGTTTGACTCTATTTCTGAGTTATTTGTGTTTTTTCACCTTTTAACCTGGAGGCATCAGAAGAACTTTCTAAGTATAACATGAATGAAAGAGATGGGTTAGGAGAGATAAGTGACAATGTTGTCACACACTTTGTACTAATATACTGTTTTGTAGAATGGGAACTCCTTTGTACAGCTACTTAAAGATAATAATAAAAAAAAAGTGAATGATACTATGAACGCACTCTGCTGAATTGAATTAGAAGGTGCAGTGAATCATGGTAATTCAGGGCCTCATCCTAACAACTGAGCAATTAGCTCCATCTAATCCTCTGAATTCTGTTGCTTGGTTTATCATAATAATCCGTGAAAATTGCAGCAGGAAGTCCAAGAGTATTACATAAAAGCAATATGCTGTAGAGAAAACAACATTTCCTAACTTTTGACAACTCAATGATTCCAGGCAAGTTACTTAACTATTCTGCACCTCAGTTTCCAATCTGTAAAATGAGAATGGTAATAACTTAATCTCCTATATACCAAGATACATTAAGCATAGGAAAGCCCAATGCTAGGGAAAAAACAGGATTCCTATGGGCTGGGAAGGTGGATCAGTGGTAGAGTGCTTGCCTTGAATGCATGAGACCCTGGGTTCGATTCCCCACCACCACATAAGCAAAAAGAAAAAAAGCCAGAAGTGGCGCTGTGGCTCAAGTGGTAGAGCGCTAGCCTTGAGCTGAAGGGCTGAGGGACAGTGCCCAGGCCCAGAGTTCAGGCCCCACGACCGGACCCAAAAAAAAGAAAGAAAGAAAGAAAGAGGATTCCTAAAAGGTTAAGATAAGGTTATCTAAGACACATCTAAAGAGAAAGCTCCCAGGTACACTAACTGCCCTCAGGACTTCCTGAGAACTAAGTGAAAACTTATGACTATTGAACCTGTCACCTAAGGCAAAGAAAACCCATTGTAAGTTCAGACTCTTCCAGCCTAACTCAGAAAATCCAACTTAAAGTCTTAACTTATTCATTCATATTCCAAAAATGCTGGATATCTACTATACGTCAGACATTGTTCTCTCTAAAAATGTCTCAAACATGCTCTCTCGTCCCCATTCCAAATACTATCCTTAGTTCATCTCCAAACCCCCTGCCCAGTACTGGGGTTTGAACTCAGGACCCTGTACTTTCTAAGGCTGGTGCTCTGTCACTTGGGAGCTGGAAGTTTTTTTCTTTCTTTCTTTCCTTCTTTCTTTTTTCTTCCTTCCTTCTTTTCCTTCCTTTTTTCTCTTTCTTTCTTCTAGTACTGTGCAAGGCTGGTGCTCTGTCACTTGAGGCTGGGAATTTTCTTTCTTCTCCTTCCTTCTTTTCTTTTTTCTTTTTGTGTCGGTCATAGGGCTTGAACTCAGGGCCTGGGTGCTGAGCTTTTTTTTCTCACTCAAAGCTAATACTCTACCACTTTGAGCCACAACGCCACTTCCGGTTTTCTAGGGGTTAATTAGATATAAGAGCCTCTCTGAGTCTGGTGCCTATGGCTCACTCCTGTAATTCTAGCTATTCAGAAGGCTGAGATCTGAGGCTCTCTATTAGAAGTTAACCCAGGCAGAAAAGTCCCTGTGAGACTCTTATCTCCAATTACCACTCAAGAACTGGAAATGGAGCTGGGGTTCAAAGTGATAGAGCAGCACTAGCCTTGAGCAAAAAAGTCCCACAACTGACCAAAAAAAAAAAAAAAGCCCTCACAGACTTTCCTGCCAGGCTGGCTTCAGTCTCAGCCTCCTGAGTAGCTAGGATTAGAGGGGTGAGCCACCAGTGCCTAGCAAGTCCTGGTTTTTTGGATGGTCATTTTTAAATAGAGGCTCAAAAACTTTTCTGTCTGGGCTGGCCTTTAACTTTGATCCTTCTGCTTTCGATGTCCATAGTAGTCAGGATTGCAAGTGTGACTCACCGGCACCAGTCTATTGACTGAAGTATTGAAGAACTTCCTAACAGGTCTTTTCATCTTCATTTCATATTCCTTTCCTTCTCCTTTTCCTTCCTCCTTCTCTTTTTTTCCTTCCTCCTCTTTTTTTCCTTTCTCCTTCTCTTTCCCCTTCCTTCAACCTATCCATCCAGAGGGAGTTTTTGAAATTGATTATCCATCTGAAACACTCTAGTGGCTCCCCATTGTCAACCATAAAGTTCTAAATTTCTTTGCATGGCATAAGGATGTTCCAAGTCTAGCTCATTTACATCTAAATGTTTCACTTCCTTTGTCAAGCCTATCCTGAAATTACCCCCATAGTCCTCAATGGTCAGACAGTACTCTTTCCTTTGCTTCCTTTTTTTTCCCCTCCTAAAAGTCTTTCTAGACCTTCCTCTTTCCAGAACATAATAGTCTTTTTCAGGCTAATGCCATGACTGATTTTTTATTATAGCCATATCAAATACAGACAGGCATGATGCTGCACACATTTGTAATCCCAACTACTGAAGAGGCTTGAGGAAGAAAGGTTATGAATTTGAGATTAGCCTGAGTATATGGTGCACAAATGTAATCACAGATGTGGGAGGGGGATAGAGGAAGAAGAGTAATGAGTTTGAGGCCAACTTGAGCAACACCAGGAAGACTACTTCTCAAAAAATTACATTCCCACTTTTCTTACGGACACCCCCCAAAATTTGGTGGATCTAGCATCAGGCCAGTAATGACCCCTAACACAATTCTCTTTGACATTATATGTTACAGATGGGCTTTTTTGCTTGAGTTCTTACCACTGATACTTATTCTTTTCAGTCTCCCTTGTTCCTTAATTACTAAGGAGTAGCAATGGATGCCTTGGTTTAAGACAGACCCACCAGCTAGTTCTTACACATGCTAGGGAAGTATTTTACTACTCAGCCATATCCCACACCTCTTATAAAGTAGGACAATGACTACTTTATAGAGTTGAGATAGTAATGCTAACAATAAAAAAACCAACCAATATTACTTATATCAAGTATTTATGTTATCCCTAATTAATCACTATTTTCTACTGGTCTTTATTTTATAACAGAAGGTACCAAATAAAGGAGCTAATTTATTTGTCTAGACATTGTGGTGGACACCACGAGCTGGCTAATAAAGCACTCATGCCTGTCTTTGCCCTTGCCTGTCTCTACTACTAAAACTAAAATATTCATTTTGCAGCCTTCCGCTAGAAGGAGTGGGTGACTTAGTTTGGGTCAGTGACTGTACAAAAATGTCTTCTGAGTGAATCTAGTAAAGTCATTGCTTTTCCTAAGTAAAAGGATACACATTACTAACGGGCCCCGTAAATGCCCCTTTTTCCCCAACTTTAACCTCAGACACCTGTGCTTAAGCCAAAGCAGGTGTTTCAGACCAAAAAAAGACCAAAAATGGGCTGGGAAGGTGGCTCAGTGGTAGAGCACTTGCCTTGCATGCTTGAGTTCGAT